ACGAAAGTCAAGATAACCGAGCAGGAATCGAGCGTAGGCGGCTTTCACCAACGCAGGCCAGAAGACTGCCTACTCAGCTTCAAGTGTCAGTAGTCTTGCGCTGGTACCACCGCACTATTTATCCTCACTCACCTTAAGTATATGTCACAGCAGACTCAAGGAAACCAAGGGTGTTATTGCTGCTACTGCTACCGCTATTTCTAATACTACTAACGAAAGGTGTAGCTGAGTGATAGCATTGCTGGTACTGTTTCTAGCTGTATTATTAGTGACACCGATTAAAGTCGGTACTGGGTTCATGTCCCCTCAATCTCAGCAAGAAGTGTAGTCTTACTGGTACTAAAACTGACGCTACCACTTGTCAGGGGTGACGCTGATTAACTTCAATGCTGGGGCTCATACCTCCTTGATCTCAACAAGGAATATGGATCTGGGTTTAAACTATTCTGAGTAAGTTCATATTTGGGGCCCTGTGCACAGCAGAGCTTGCCTCGGTTTACGCCCTCTCAACTCATCAGGCTGTGTCCGTTTTTACTAGGTTCAGACTACGATACTGCTGCTAGAAGTACGTGCCTATGCCTAAGTGCTAATTCTAGTAATCATACTTACTAAGGCCAGTAAATAGTATACTATGATATGGCCTGTATGTGCTTTTTAAGAAGTCGGAACCCAGTATGCACTTCCAATTTGTAACAGATTAAGTGATTAACTCATGAATTAAATAAAGCGTTATTAAATAATTGCACAAGTCCTACCATGCCTTTGTGTCGTACAATTTGCTGTCTGTAGACTGCGTAAAGGCCTGCTATGGTATCTACCTGTAGCTTGGACTTTTCAGAACGTCTACTCATATCCCCTGGATCTCAACGGGGAGTTTGAATCTGGGTTTATGCTATTCAGAGTAAATACATGTTTGAGGCCCTCTCACCTCTGTACACCAAAAGCTGTGTCACATTTTACTAAGTTTGGGCTTGGATACTGCTGCTAGAGGTAATATGCCACTGTGAAGCGTGCTAATTCTAATAATCATACTTTCTAAGACTAGCGGATAGTATATTCTAGTGATATCTTCCTATAATTGTATCAATAGCCGACATGCATCCCATTTTTGCAACAAGCATAACAGATGGTGATATGAGCGTACGCGCCTCCTAAACGTCATCCGGGCTGATTGTATGACACCGGCCTAGCGTTCACGTCCGGTAGCCAAGTAAAACTGTCTGTATATTACTCGTGGCAGTTTTGAACTGTCTCCAATCGACTTCACTTCGCCTGCGTTTCTCGACTACACGCCATTGACCTCTGCCATTAGCCGTGGCCTTTGTGGAGCCTGACGGTCCAATCACCTTCTATTAAATCCGGTGTCCTTTGACTCATAATTTCGCCGATGCTGGTCTACCTATTATATGGTTTTCTGCCTATCAAAACGTGTTTCACCTATCCAGTCTGAACTTGCTAATTTCAAATAATTTTTGGTTCCATATCGGTATTTTAATAAATTTTAGACAATCAGCTCGCATCCAAGATCTGGTTCGCCAAAAGCTCGTTGAAGAAATACAAAAAAGAAACGAGATGCTGGATAGAGGTGAGTAGTCTCATCAATTATACGCATGTAGACGATTTATGTAGTCTCCCCTCTTGTCTTAAGACATCCAGCACGGTGTTTCATTTCAAATCTAGTAGATTCGGAAATTCAAGAGGATGAGCCTCCTCCGAAACCTCGTCCAAAGCAAGGTCATCGAAAAAAACCTACCGGCAAAACTCCTCAGGTTAAGAGCAGTCGACGGTCAAGCAAAAAACACTCGCCTGATCCCGGAGATCTTCTGAAGGAACCGTCCAATCAAGTCCTATCCTCAGACTGGCAACGCCACCTGGTTGAATGCGGATACACTGATGAGGACCCATCAAAGCTCTGGTGTATCTGTCGCCAGCCACATTCCGGAAGGTAGTACATTGCCCAATCCATTAAGCCTATTTACTGTCCTTTTTTCAACTTAATGCATATCTCAGTCGTGGCCGTTTTGTTTTGCTGTTCAGATTTATGATTTGCTGTGATCGATGCGATGAATGGTATCATGGCGACTGTGTCGGGGTTGATCCACAACAAGGTGCTCAAATGGAGGAGTTCGTTTGCTCTGGCTGCCGTCGAGTAGACTCTTCTCCTTCTTCAACTACTGTGCCTGCAGCAGAGGTATTTTGTTTTCCTCTTTATCTTTTCCACTCTATCGAT